AGACCCTGTCTCAAAACAAAACAAAAACATATAGAATATTTTCCAAATGTTTCCTATGGTCTTGAACCTGTTTTAGGTGATCTTCATGGATTAATTAATGTTGCAATTATCCCCTGAGGCAGGTGCCATTTAATCCAACATTGTACGTGGGGGCTCCAGGGCACTGCTCTGCTCAACCAAGCTCTGGAATCCCTCCCTAAGCAATCGGACCCTGGGTTCATCTGCACGGCTCATATCCACGGAGGCGGGGCCTCAGAAGGGGCCGCACGAAACCCTGCAGGGAGGAGAGTCTGCTGCAGGTGCCAGAGGGTGGCCTGCTGATGGGTTTAATCCTACACTGACTCAACTTCATAACATCAGGGCCTGCCCTGCTTCCCTCCTCCCTCCCTGCCCTGTTTGGCTTGAGGGTCTACTAGGGATGGCCCCTCCAGGCCTTGAACACAGCAGACAAACTTGCTGGGTGGTGTAGACCCCCATGTGATTGTCTGTTCATCCCAGCCACCAGGAACAGCTCAGTTCCTAAGACTTGAGCACATTCTCGAGGAACCAGATCCATCACGGAGTCTCTCTCTGGCTCCTGAGAATTTTCTTTTCATTCTCTTCTCCTGGCAAATTCTTCCTGGAAACTCTGCTGACTGCTTTAAGGCAAACCAAGCCCCTGCCGTTAAGTCATACCACGACTGTCATTTTAGAAATGGGGAAACCAGGGCTTAAGCAATGTGCTCAAGGCCACAGGGTGGTCAGGGGCCTGCATCCACACCTGGCTGACCCCGCTCCCATCGCAGTCCCCAGATCAGGATGACTGATATGGTTTGGCTGTGTCCCCACCAAAATCTCGTCTTGAATTATAGCTCCCCAAATTCCCAGGTATTGTGGGAGGGGCCTGGTGGGAGATAACTCTATTATGGGGCAGCTCCCCAATAATGTTCTCATGGTAGCGAATGAGTCTCACAAGATGTGATGGTTTTATAGGGGTTTCCCTTTCCCTTGGCTCCCATTCTCTCCTGCTGCCACCATGTAAGATGTGACTTTCACCTTCCGCCAGGATGGTGAGGCCTCCCAGCCACAGGCACTGTGTGAGTCCATTCTATCTATCTTTTCTCCCCAGTCTTGGATATGTCTTTATCAGCAGCATGAAAACGGACTGCCTTGTGTGACTACCGAGCTAGCCTGCTGTCCCTCCCTGGCTAGTGCCCTATTTGCTCCTAAAAGTCTCGTTTAAGCAAAGTTTGTGGTCACCATCCCCACATATCCTGTAGCCTCTGATGAGGGCCTCCGTGTCAAAATTCCTGCCCCTTCCTACGCCTCCTCACCTGGGATCCTCAATCACATCTTAAAATGTAACTGTCGCTATTCAAAGCTGTCTCTGTCGGAACCTGTTTTTCCTCCTCTGTGTCCCTAGTCCTTTTAATGGGCCTCTGGGGACATTGAAGGAAGCCCGGGAATCAGGACTGGCCCCTCTATCAACTAACTCTTCAGTCCTGCATTCACCAAAAGCCACCTACATCTTAATACTTTTGCCCATAAATAAGGTGGCCAGGTCTGTGAGGACCAAAAAGACCAGATGGCAAAGTAGATAAACATAAAGCATTATGATTGATAATCAACCTTGTAAAAAGCCATTTTCAGACAAATTCAGCACGATTTGACTCATATGAGGTACTCAGAATAATTAACTTCAAAGAGACGGGAAGGAGAATGGTGTCTATCAGGAGCTGAGCAGGGAAGGGAGACTTCTATGAAGAGAGAGTTTCAGTTCTGCACAATGAAAACCGTTCTGGAGACGGATGGCGGTGATGGGAATATCACAGTGCGAATAAACCTTTAGCCACTGAACTGTATAATTAAAAAGGGCTAAAGCGGTAAATTTAATGTTATATGTATTTTAAATGATTTTTTAAAACGAAAATGTTTTTCAATAAAATATCTCAAAATCACTCAAAAGTTCTTGTCAATCTGTTGCATTAACCGCTAAAAATGTGAGCTAGAAATCTACCAGGTAGATTTCCTACAGTGCATTTGAAGTGCAGTGTAAGTGGCGCATGTGTATCTCCTTAGCCAGGTGTCTAGGAAAAATGATTCTGAGAAAGAAGGCTCCAGAAAAGAAGCAAAGGAAGACAATGCAAGCATGTGACCCTCCTTCTGGGCTAAAGAGCTAGGAGAGCACATAGAACTGCCAGACCAATGTACCTGTCCCGTTAAAAGAACGACTGGAAATGAACAGAAAGCCACTTGGCTTGTGGCATAGCAGAGCTGTGAGTGTGGGAGCCAGGGTGTGCGGCCACAGTGCTAGGGGCCTAAGACTGAAAGTAACTTGTGTTATACTAACCACATTCACAGTTACAGACGTGATGACCTGCCACAGAACACTGACCTAAGAGAAGCCGCTGCCTCCTCTCCGGAACACCGGCCCCATCATCATCAATCGCCTCCTCTCTGGAACACCGGCCCCATCATCATCAATCGCCCTTGCTAACTGCCGCTGGTTTCTGAGAGCTTAAAATTCTTTTCAAATATGAACCTAAAAATAATACTACATCATCTCATGTATTTTATTCATTGCTCCCTCCTGAACAACAGCCCCTTTAGAGACATGTAAAGAATGAATCAACTTCAAGAGACATCAAATATTGACTAGAAAGAATCATTTTAATTACCTAAAGGTAGTCAATCAGTCCACTGTTGAAAAGACTTCAGATCAATTTAGTGCATGGAAATAACTAATAAAATTGTTACAAAGTACTTTATAAATTTAACGTGTCAAATAAATGGCCTATAATCGGAATAATCATCATTAAATAAAATACTTTAACAGCCACAAGGTGACCATGATGAATCTGTCATTTTATCCCCAAGATGGAGGAAAGGAAACACCAGAGAGATGAAACTGAAATAATGAGCACTAAGTGCCATTAAGTTGTCTCTTTGAAAGGTCAGTGCTCAGTAAGGGCCAGAATCAAAACCAAAACAGAAACCAAAATTCAAGCAAGACCCAGGAAACTGACTGGAAGTTTATTTGTATGCAACGTCTTTTGTGAGTGAGGATGAAGATGCATGATTTTGAGCAACAACTATAGATAATACACTATTCAACAGATAATACTCAACAGACTACTCACAAACACTTTTGAAACAATGTGTCAGGTCTGGGAAAACAGTCGGTGCGTATTTTCTAATCTGTTTCCTAACGCTAGCTAATTTTCATTACTACCCAATGAAAGCACTCTGGGGAATAAAAAAAATACCTGACATGAGCTACCTTTCATTTCCTTGCTAGAAAACCAGAAATCTGTATTCAAAGAACAGGCCAAAGAAGAAATACTGCCCCAAATGTTAAATATATACTAAATGTTGTTCATCATTCTTTTTAAGACACGGGAAACCGTAGGGTCTGGTGAAGCTAGCCACAGAGAAAATGTGAAGAACAATGAATTGAACCCCAGGCAGATCTTAAGAGCTTAGCTGGTTTCTCCACCTATAAAAATCAGGGCATTCTTGCTGCTGTTTGTGTTAGGTAATTAACAGCCGTAAAGCATGCTGAAAGTAGAAACTGCTAAATAAACAATGACTGCCAAAGAATTTTTACCACACCGTGCTAGATAGTCAGGATAAAGCATGGGCTTTTAACTTTACCATTGTTGTTTTCAAGTTAATAATGCAAACAAGAGTCCAATCTCATTAAGATGGCTCGGCATAGTTTAGACAGCAAGTTAAATTTCGTCATTAGAGAGTACGGAAGGAATCTTGTTTCTTCAAGAGCAGCAGTTCACTCAACTCTAGGTGGAGCTGTGAAAATAAAGCCATGTTCTATTCCTGTAAGCTACAGAAATGTCACCACATTGCCTGTGTCTACACTTCCGTTAATTCCAGACAGAGGCCATTCTACTTGAAGACCCATTAAGCAATCAACTTTTTGGGAATGTCCATTTATCTCACATTGAGTTTGGAACCCTAAACATCGGTAACGTTTTAAACCGTTTTCTGGGAATTGGTGACACAATGATGTCAGCCACAATGCCTGTTTTCCACACTTCTCAATCCCTTGGACTGCAGAGACTGTAGGCCTACCCAAGAACCTTGCAGGCATTTTATGGTCGCATAGTGAAGAAATACAAATGGAGAACATCTCAGTACCAATTCTGTGACTTTCCTTCTAAATTTTTTAATTCCAAGCATGGTATTGAGTAAGTCACAAAATTTAAACTATGAACTAGGAGAGCTAACATTATTTTACTGTTCATATTTGTTCATTTTTTACAGATACACTTGAAATAACTACTGAGTATTATGAATCCTAGGGGGAAAAAAACCCAAAGAAATATAAATCACAGAAAGATTGGAAAGCCTGGGAGATCAAATCCATTTTAATTATTTCTCACTGAAAACACAGCACCTGGAAAATATGGTTTTCTACTTAAATATAAAATCTGATCAGGATTCTGTTCACAAAATACACTGTTCTGTGAGTTTTCTTATACCTCTAAATACTCTTTCTATAAAGAAGAGTTTCAACATCACTGAACAAACAAGAGTAAATCCTGTTTACTAGACATTTGGAGAGAAAGTCATCTTCCAGGTACTATTTTGAGAAAGAATTAAATATCTCCAGAAGGAAGCAAAGTAAAAGACATTACCACATTAAAATACAAATATACAATTTCGTCCTCAAAATAACCAAGACCTCAAATCCCAGTTTTGGTGACTCACATTAATTTAATTGTGCCATTTACTTTACTAATCATAGATGTAAAAGGAACACTGCGTTCCAAACATAATTCTCTCACCAGCATCTCATTACATGAAATGATTAGTTGGGAGCCTCCGAATAAATTTTTACTTGATTAGTTTCACTTATTTAAGAACACTGAATAATTTAAGATCTGTTTAAATGAAACAGAAGCAAGGGGCCCTCTGAGAAGGGCTGCATTCCCCCACACCTGCCATCTCAACAAACCCTACATTACTCCCCCCAGCAAAGGCTACCCTCAGTGAGTACGTACCTTCCAGGTGAAGCCACATCAGCCGCCCCCTCACGCTCACAACGGAGGCCACACACAGTTCTCCTGGATTCCTGGGGTTCACAGCTTCGAGTTTCATGTTCTTTGTGAAACCTCGACTGAATGATGTCTGCAAGAGAAACACAACCGACACTGAGCCAGTGCTGACACAGCTGGACAAAGCTGGGCCGATGAAGAAAGGGAAAGAAATACACACGGATCCTACATCAACAAGACCGGCTTATGTGAGTGTTTGTTCCTTCCCACTGCTCATGAAGAAAGAACCAGCGGGTCTTCATTTCTTAGAACTACGCCTAGCACACAGTAGGTGCCTAATAATATGTGTTAAACGAGTGAGAGTATGAATTCATTCTCTCTCCAGTTCCACATGCACCCTTCCTTCTATGGGGTCACTGAAGTACACACCATTTCCTCCACCTTCCTATATCCCTGCATAAAAGTTCAAGTGGGTAGATGGAGTTTCCATCCGGCATCATTTTGCTTTAAAGGAAGTGGGAAGAATATCCTTTAGAAATTTTTGTAGTAAAAGGTCGGGCATGGTGGTTCATGTCCGTAATCCCAGCACTGCAGGAGGCCGAGGTGGGCAGATCACTCGAGGTCAGGAGTCCAAGACTGGCCTGGCCAACGTGATGAATCTCCATCTCTACTAAAATACACAAATTAGCTGAGCATGGTGGCATGTGCCTGTCATCCCAGCTACTCGGGAGGCTGAGGCAGGAGGCTCACTTGAACCCAGGAGGCAGAGGTTGCAGTGAGCTGAGATCTCACCACCGCACTCCAGCCTGGGCGACAGAGGGAGACTCCGCCTAAAAACAAAAACAAAAAAAAAAGAATTTTTGGTAGTAGTGTAGGTCTTTTTGATGAATTCTTGTGGTTTTCTTTGATCTGACGTGATCTTTGTTTTCCTTTGTTCTTTGCTATTGACTCTTCCAGATCACTTTAAGCATTTTTACATAGAGTAAAATTCAGTCTTGGGTATATTGTTCTCTGAGGGTAGGGCTGTGAGACCAGCGCATGTCATCACGCAGCATTATAACCACAACCGACACACAGAACCACTCCTTCACCCCTAGATGCCCTTGCTCCGGGGTCCTTTGGTAATCAGTCCCTCCAAAGCACTCAACTCCTGGCAACCACCAATCTGTTTCCCGTCCCTGTAATTTCCTCTATGTTTCTTTATATTCTCATTATGAGAAAATTTTCCTTTAGATCTACAGTTCTTGTTCTGTTTATTCTGTAAGTCATGTAAATGGACTCACACGATCTGTAGCCTTTTGAGTCTGGCTTCTCTCACTTAGCATAATGCACTGAGATTCATCCATGCTATTACGTGATATGGAAGTTGCTTCTGCTTTCTTGCTGAGTAGTTTGTACAGATGCACCATAGCTTATCTATCCACTAAGCAGCTAAAGGCACTCGAGCGGTTTTCAGTGATTGTGATGAAAGCCACTGTAAACATTCTGGTACAAGTTTTCACGTAAACTAAGTATATTGATCTGCTCAGGCTGCTATAGCAAAATACGACAGACTGTGAGGTTTAAGCCACAGAAATGTGTTTTCTCATGGTCCTGGAGGCTGAAGGCATAGATCAGGGCGTTGGCAGGGCAGGCTTCTTCTGAGACCTCTCTCCTTGACTTGCGGATGTCTTCTCTTTGTGTCTTCATGTGGTCACGGCTCTGTGTGTACTTGGCAGTTCTGATTTCAGCATGCTTTATGTCTGGTAATCGCCCAACATAAACGGCAGTAAGAGTGTCCTGATTTTTATAAGTGGAGAAACTAGCTAAGCCATTAAGATCTGTTTGGGGTTCAATCCCCTCTTCTTCTTTTTTTAATTGCAGACAGGGACTCATTCTGTCACCCAGGCTGGAGTATAGCAGCATAATCTCAGCTCACTGCAACCTCTGCCTCCTATGTTCAAGTGATTCTCCTGCCTCAGCCTCCTGAGTAGCTGGGACTATAGGCATGTACCACCACATACAGCTAATTTTTTTTGTATTTTTAATAGAGTTGGGGTGTCACCATGTTGGTCAGGCTGCTCTTGAGCTCCTGACATCAAATGATCTGCCCACCTTGGCCTCCCAAAGTGCTGCAACTGCAGGAGTGAGCCACTGTGGCTGGCCCCCGCTTTTCTTACAAGGACACCAGTTATACTAGATGAGGGCCCCCACTTAGGACCTCGTTTTATCTTAATTACTTCTTTAAGACCGTATCTCCAAAGACACTCATGTGCTGAGGTATTAGAGGTTATGATTTGAACATATGAATTTGGGAGAGGCGCAATCCAACTCATACCATTAAGTTTGCATTACTCTAGAGATGGGACTGCTGGACCATATGGTAAATGAACTTTTAGCCTACTAAGAAGCTGCCAAAATGTTTGCCAAAGTTGCTACGGCATTTTGTATTTTCATGAGCAGTGTAGGAGAGTTTTAGTTGCTACTCATCCTCATCAGCATCTGATATTGGCAGTTTTTCAAAATCTTGGAATAGATACCTAGCGGTGCCTCACGGTGGTGGTAGCTTGCATTTGCCCTGCTGACTACTGATGCTCAGCATGTTTTCCCGTGTTTTCCTGGGGCACCCATGCATCTTCTTTGGTTAAGTGTCTATTTTTATTCTTATTCAGCCACCTCTTCTGGGTCTTCTATTCTCCGTGATAACTGTCTCTCAGATCCTGAAATTCCATGTGTCTTTCATTTCCCTGTCCATCTTCTTCTGTTTTTCAGACAGAATAATTCCTGTCTTCAAGGTCATGGACTCTTTCCTCTGTCATCCTCATTAAGTTACTTCAATGAATTTGATTTCAGCTACTGTATTTTTCAGTTCTAGAAATTCTCTTTTTTACAGTTTCTACTTCTTCTTAAGGACTTCCTATCTTTCAATTCATTATGAGAATATTTTCCTTTATATCTACAGTTCTTTTTTTTTTTTTTGAAACGGAGTTTCGCTCTTGTTACCCAGGCTGGAGTGCAATGGCATGATCTCGGCTCACCGCAACCTCCGCCTCCCGGGTTCAGGCAATTCTCCTGCCTCAGCCTCCCGAGTAGCTGGGATTATAGGCACGTGCCACCGTGCCCAGCTAATTTTTTGTATTTTTAGTAGAGACAGGGTTTCACCATGTTGACCAGGATGGTCTCGATCTCTTGACCTTGTGATCCACCCGCCTCGGCCTCCCAGAGTGCTGGGGTTACAGGCTTGAGCCACCGCGCCCGGCCCTATATCTACAGTTCTTAAACTTTAGAATCAGAATCCCCCTTGAAAATCTTTTAGAAAAATAAACTTCTGGGCTTCTCCCTGAAGTTTCTGATTCAGTTGATTGTAGGTGAAGCCAGAGAATGTGTATTTCTGACAAGTGCCCGGGTGATGCTGAGGCTGCTGGTCTCATGACCACACTTTAAGAACCACTGCTTTACATCACGCTTAGTTACAGTGGGGGATTGAAAATACTTGTCTTGTAATTCCAACACCTGGGTCATGATGGGTTTAGTTTATGCTTGGTTTAGTCTGGGCTGATTCTCTTTTCTACTGAGAATGAGGCTGATTTTCCCATTTGTCTTGAGCAATGTGGGAATTAAAGAATGGGTATTTTAAATGTTACGTTGTAGAGACTCTAGATTATGTTATATTCCTACCAAGAGCATTGACTTTTCTATTTTAGCAAGCAATCACCTTGGTTGGACTGAAACTTGAGACTGTCTCTTAAGAAGCAGCTCAAATTTCAATTGAGTTCAGCTTTTCTAGGCTGCTTGGAGTCTTCCTGGCACCTACATGATTCAGGGATCACCCCAAAAACCTAGACAGAATTTACACATAGAATTTGGGGTCCTGGCTCTCCCCTGAGTCTCCACTGACTTTCCAGGATTGGCGGTTGATCAGATTTTGTAATGTGGTTCATTAGACGAGAGAGACCGTGAATTTTATATCACTCTGTAAGTTATCCCACATGCTGTCAACTGTGGCTGCCCTGAGGTAAAAGTCTGAAAAAATGGGACAATTTCCCCATGCCATTCCCTTCTTCCAATCTCCTGTTCCCTTTGAAATATGCCTGCTTTTGTTCATGTTCCACTACCCCCAAATAGTGATTTTTGGTCCCATGTCCAGACTTTAGAGCTGCTCTATGTGCATGCAGAAGGGTTGATTCAGTCTGAGCTTATTCGGCCAATACTGAAAACATTATTTTAAAATAAATATGAAAATTTCCCAAATTGCCAACTACTATAAATTGTCATCAGACATGTTACAATACTCTGGATCTATATATTTAGAGATACCAAGATCAACACGTTCCTCTAAGTAACAGAGACTACTACTTTTTGTGACTAGTGGAAATAAATCAAGGTAATTCACATTTGTATGTCTTTTTCTAAAACTTAATTTGAAAAGCACAATTATATCTTATGTAACCTGAAAAAAACGTGATCCAATGCATGTTAAGAAATCAGCTGGCTTCATGCCTTGATGTTTCTTTGGAAATAGGAATCAAAGATCTTCTAGGAGGGCTGTGTGTTTCTGCAAGTCACCCTGCCTCACCCGTGGCTATTACGCATTGAGCTTCCGTCTGAAAATACAACTCCATCAGCCACTTGAAAAGCCTCTCAATAAGTTAAAATGCATTTTATCCTTCTTAACAAGGGAATGCTACAACCACACAACCTATTTTCATTTCAGTCCACCGCTTGAGGGTAATTTATAAAGGATCAATAGCAAACCTGTTACCTGTGAGTTTATTTACCAAGCATTTTACTGTGTCGATTCCTTTCATAACAGCCTCTGTTAAACATCTCTGGGGAAATGTCTTCCATGCATCCAATTCCACACTAGCTCTCCTCTAATACACAGGAGATGTGTGATTAAAAAATGAAGTTGTAATATGCATTCCATTAAGAAGTACTTGTAGCAAGCTAACAAATTCAGCAAAGCACCACCAATGCAATGCATACATCAACAATCTGTCTATTACATAAACAGAGCGACAATCCTATTACATAAACAGAGCACCAGAAACAAAGGCATTCCTACGCCCACAGATTCATCCAAACAGAGAGCACCTTGGTAGCCAAATCCCGAAAACCCAGAAGCCACCTGGGAATGTGGTGCCTTGCTCTACCATTCAGACCCATGTGGACAACTCCTGGCTGTGAATGGGAAGAGAGGACTGATAAAAAGAAGCTATAGTGGGACTCTGTTGTCACAGAAGAAATCACTCTTTAAATACAGAATGAAAGGGAGAGATAAGGCTTTTCTTCCAAAGGCTAATGATCCGGGGAAGGAATACTTCTCTTTGTACCTTGTCAGGTACAAAGCACAATCTCAAAAGGATGTTAGGGTGCTACAAAATGTTTCCATGGCCCTAAATGAAAGCAGACAAGCCAGCAGATTCTGTGACCATGACATCAATATGGTGATGAGTCAAAGCTTTCGGAGTCTACCAGCTGTGATCTTTGTCGGGGCACAGTTACGCAACCAGCTCTATCACCTAAACACACGCCACTCGGTTCTTCAAGATACAGAGAAACTACTCTTGTGCAAAGGCAACCTCATTCAGTGGCGATCCTGGGGAGAGCTAGGACCGGGAACCCCAAAAATTCGACGTGTAAATTCTGCCTAGATTTTTGCCTGCTCTGTGGATCATGTGGGTGCCAGGCAGACTCCAAGAAACCTAGATGAGGTGAGAACTCAACTGAGATTTGAGCTGCTTCTCAGGGTTGTTCAATCATAGAAGGACCCTTGATTTCCAGCCTTGCTGCTGACGTGCTTCTGTACTCACAAGTACCAGCCGACCCAGTCATCAACCTACTGAATCCTCCAAAATCTGGTTTTTGACTTACGCTGACTTTTGAACTTCTGCCTATTCAGCCACTCCTTTCTTGCTTGACTTTTCATATTGTTTTGTGAAGCGTGCAGTGACAGGTGCAGTGGGAACGAAGTTGCAGCTCCAGGACTGCATGCTCAGCAAACAAGTCTCTGACCTGCACGTGCTTCGCACTGCTGTTACAGATCTCAACTAAGAGACTACCATCTTTTTGTCTTAACATAAATTAAGTTTCCTAACTGAAAGTACATTGAACATGGTAGACTATACATTTAAGTCTAATTCTTTTTTTTTTTTTTTGAGACGGAGTTTCGCTCTTGTCACCCGGGCTGGAGTGCAATGGCGCGATCTCGGCTCACCGCAACCTCCGCCTCCTGGGTTCGGGCAATTCTCCTGCCTCAGCCTCCTGAGTAGCTGGGATTACAGGCATGTGCCACCGTGCCCAGCTAATTTTTTGTATTTTTAGTAGAGACGGGGTTTCACCATGTTGACCAGGGTGGTCTCCATCTCTTGACCTCGTGATCCACTCGCCTTGGCCTCCCAAAGTGCTGGGATTACAGGCGTGAGCCACCGCGCCCGGCCTAAGTCTAATTCTTAAAACAGAGATAAATGATGTCTCCACTCCCAGTTCCCAGGGTTGATGAATTACTGATAATCTTGTAAACTGCAGCTGTCATGTACCGCACGGTGACGTTTCAGTCGATGATGAACTGTGCACACAATGGCGGTCCCATATGATTACATGGTTATACCACACAACCTAGGCTATGTGGTATAAGCTATACCATCCAGGCTGTGGATGAATCTCAAAGCTATATGTAGGATAGGCTATGCCATCTAGGCCTGTGTAGGTACAGGGTATACTCTACGACATTCACACGACAGTGAAGTGGCCTGATGACGCATTTCTCAGAATATTCCCCATCATTAAGCCACGCATGACTGTAGTTTATAAAATGACCTCCTATAATGCTCTAAGTACATGCATGTGCACACACACACACATGCTCATTGCTACTTTATGTGCCACAAAAATCCTATTACTACGTTCCAATAAGCTCTATATGAACAGGTAGTAGCTTAAAGTAAGCGAAGCACACAACTTGCTCGCACCTTACTGGACATCAAAGAAGGTACCCAAGCCATCAAAATAAGTAAGACTGTATTTTAAGACTAGGCCTCAGGAGCAAAGATTCTCCTCTCCGTGGGCTCGTGGATAAGATGCTACACAGCAAGTGTTCCTCTAACGGGCACAGGCGGCCAGCCGTCCGCCAAAAGGTGTCCTCTTCCCCCGAGAGTCCAGAACCACAGCTGAGCAGCAAGCGCGGGCAGGACCCCCTTCCTGGCCTCACCTGTGACCTGGTGAAGCCAAGTGAGGCGCTCCCACCAGTTGAAAGTAAAGAGCAGAAACACGTGGTTATCAGGCTGCAGTCTTCAGAACCAGCGACACCTTCTCCTTCATCTCCTTTCCTTCTGCTGGCTAGGTTACTCACCATGATGAGAACCACCTACTAATCAGGAAAACCCTGGGCTCTTCCGTAAGTGAGACTCGGCCATCACCCTTTAGCACGTTCCGGCCACTGTGCGTTTATTAGTCAATTTGTTAGCACAGACCAGCACCACCCGAGCAAACGCACAACCTGAAAGCAGAGCTTTCCAAAAAGTACATTTTGTAGTTCTCCAGTGCATGGTAATGCTCCAACCTTGCTTCGTCAATAAAAAGCAAGTCATAAAGCTTACGATAAACAAAATCTATGACTTGTTAAAATTAGGTAAGAGAGAAGTTTCTTACATTTCGGAAGCAGAAGGGAGGGGCTTCCTGCGCCCCATGCTGCTTGTGATAATCTGCCCAGTCAAAGTCCTGGCCAGAGTAACCTGCGAATGACAAAAAACAGATAAACAGCATAAATTAAGCAATATCCCAGACGGATGAGCAACATCAGAAGGGGTGCAAGTTTAGGCCACCAAAAGATAATGTCCTCTGATGCCTAACAGTACTTCAGATTCCATAAGCTCAGATGAACTATTTTGGAAAAAATAAAGTACTCAACACAGGTAAAAACAGAACAGAACAAAACATCATTACTACAACACAGTATCTGAAGCCAGGTGAAGAATGGTGGAACGTACCCGCGGCAGCTCCTGCCAGTGGCGGATCTGCCATAAGGGAGAGCTAGGCCAGGATACGACACGAGACACACTCTCACCACTCACTGTGCGGAAATAGATAATGGCATCTCCCTTCGTGGGAAACCTGAGTTCACGAGAGCTTACTTTTCAGTGTCTTTATGGAAAACGTGAGGTTTTATTGGGGAAAACTAAACAAAACAAAACAGTACCAGGGAGGACTTTTTAAAAAGTAACAGAAGGTAGAGAAGAGGGCAGCAAAGAGTAGAGGGCTTGGAGAGAAAGCCCCCAGAGAAATGAGGGGAGGGGAGGAAGGCAAGCATGGCCCTGGAGCTGTCCTGCTGAGGCTGAAGGACGCTCAGAACTGTGGGAGGCAGGCCTCTGCTGGAAGCTCTGGGGGCCGCTTGCAAATACTGCGAAAGGCATCTGAACAAAACTGCTCATACACACTGAATGTAACCAAACCCAGAGCCCACTCAAGTAGCTGTTTTCTTTCTTTATATTTCCTTCATTTGGACAGGGGAAGATGCAACTACATAAATGTCCACCAGGACCACAGCAAGGCAGGAGAGTAGGTGAGAGAAGAGAGGTCTGAATTATACATAAGAAAGGCATAACCCAGGGAGGAAAATGCCTCGTAATGGGAGTCTGCTCAGCAAAATCAAACCAATGAACAGACAAGGAAAAGGGAGTGAGGTGTTGAGATCTTTCAGTAAACAAGCGAAGGAAATACACAGTCCAACTGCTATGAACCGAAGCGTGCAGATGCCCCTTGTGTTTCTATTTATGGTGCTCTCTATGGGTTGAAACCTACGTAAAGTAAATCTATACGGGATTTCTTATGTTTTTTTATCCAAATCCCTCAGTTTCTTCCCCCCATATTATCACAGATTCTACGAGTGCAATTCATTCATTCATTCATTCATTCATTCATTTATTGAGACAGAGTCTTACTCTGTCACCCTGGCTGGAGTGCAGTGGCACGATCTCAGCTCACTGCAACCTTCGCCTCCCGGGTTCAAATGATTCTCCTGCCTTAGCCTCCCGAGTAGCTGCGATTATAGGCACATGCCACCACACCCGACTCATTTTTGTATTTTTAGTAGAAACAGGATTTCGCCATGTTGGTCAGGATGGTCTCCGACTCCTGACCTCATGATCAGCCCGCCTTGGCCTCCCAAAGTGCTGGGATTACAGGTGTGAGCCACCACGGCCAGCCTGGAAATTCTTTATTAAAGAAACTCAACATACTAAAGATACTGGTTGCTTCCACTTACATTCCTGAGCAAAAAATAGGAATTATTTTCATTAAGCAAGCTCAATATATCCTATTTTTTTTTAAGATGGGAGGGGGAGGGTTAACCAAAAAAAAGCAGCTGTCCTTCTCTGGTCCCAGAGACTGACCCGTGACCTTCCCATATCCTCTTGACCATCAGGGGCCGGTCCCCTTCTTTCTCAAGACAACTGTTTCATTCTGTAAAGACTGACAGTTCTTTGCAGCCACTTTCAAAGAGGTGTTTTGAGTCCTTCCACCTGCCCTTCTCTCCAAAGCTCCCCTCCAGCTAAATGCCTCTTGCACCAGAGCTTTCTGGACAGGACCAAAGCCAACTTTCTTCTGAGCCTTTTTAAACACAACGAAACACATCTCACAAACAAGGTAATATAGTGTGAGTTTCTCTACAGTGAAGAAAGCCCTCCAGGTTGTGCACAGTTTCTCTGGAGCTGCCTGGGTCAAAGCCTCACATCACTGTAGAAGAATTAGCCTCAAGACATGTCAGACAGAGAAGTTTCCTAACAAGACAAAGGGCCCAGAACTAGAGAAGAGGGTATCTGGGTTTAAGACCCAGCTCTGCCAGTAATGGGATGGACCCCGGAATAAGTAGGTTAAATCTGCTGTGCCCACTTTCCTCATCCATAAGTTCACAAAATAAAGAGAAGAGCATCCGGGCGCGATGGCTAGCACCGGTAATCCCAGCACTTTGGAAGCCTGACGTAGGCAGATCATGAGATCAGGAGTTTGAGACCAGCCTGACCAACATTGTGAAAACCCATCTCTACTAAAAATACAAAAATTAGCCGGGCATGGTGGCGCATTCCTGTGATTCCCAGCTACTCAGGAAGTTAACACAGGAGAATTGCTTGAACCTGGGAGGCAGAAGTTGTAGTGAGCCGAGATTATGCTACTGCACTCCGGCCTGGGAGACAGAGCAAGACTCTGTCTCAAAAAATCAATAAATAGAAAAGCTTTTAGGTCCCTCTGCTATTGCATTCTATGACTCAGACCCACCATTACTAATTATTTTACTTTTGCTACTGAGGACTTTTTTCCCCAACTCTCTGAGGTTCATTCCCTTCTCTGCCCCCAGAAGAAAAGCGTGATGCGGCTGCATGAAGAGCAGTTACCTAACAAGGCATTCCTCTAAGAAGACCTCATGGCTCCATCCGTGGAGACTACTCTGTAACACAATGATCCCGTCTGTCTGGGGTTTTGGAAGAGGGACTTCGTTAAAGTCACGATCTCCAGCTTGGAAGTCACTGCTATTCCCTACACAGAGACATGAAGCTGGGCTTTCTCTAGCTAACTTCCAATGAGCATCAAGCCGTCCTATAAAAGGTCATGTCCCCTGTTTTCTTGGACCTACATTCAAGCCTTCCATGTATTCAGCCAGTCCTCCACCGTGTCTGTGGAGAGCCATTTCTAATCTGATCATTTCTAGATAAAACCAAGTCTCGCTGGGTATGTTCGAAGCAACAGTTAACTCATCTGCCTCTGGAACACACTCATTTCCTTGACACTCGAACAGCTAAGACTCCTCCTTCCCCTCCTCCTCCTCTTCGGGACCTTCACTTACTTCATCACTTAAAATTCTTTTTCTTTGGGCTGATAATGAGCTCTCTTTGTCGGGCAGTTTTGTGACATCTCAGAGAATAACTGCGACATAAAAACAAATTGCTGTGGATTGTGTAATAGAGACGACAGGGTCAATGATACTCATTAATCAACAAAGACAGAACTAAAAGTACTAAGGCTTCACTGTGGCCAGGAAAACCTGTTTTAAACCCGGAGCAGAGGGGAGAAGAAAATGAAAGAAAATAAAACCCTTTAGGCAATTAAAATTTGCAGCAAGCTGCCCTGAGAGACTGTTGAACCACAACCATTAGATTTATTTAAGCTTTTATTAGTGTTCATTCTGAATGAAGTTCCAACCCTTACAGGTCCAGAAGGGAAGAGGTTGATGAGCCATTTCCCTCAGATACAAAATAATTGACAAAAAACAGCTCTATTTGCACACATCATTATTGGCAGTGCGCATGGATAATTCTTTGGAAAAACTGTTTGGCCATAAAAAAGTTCCTGCCCTTTGACAAATCCATTTCATTTCTGGGAACTCATCCCATAAAAATGACCCCAAGAACTGAAAAAGGTGTTGTACATGAAGAGATTATGGCGTCATGATTGGCAATACTGGAGGGAAAAAAATGAAAAACCTTTGTGTAGTAACAGAAGTGACATGAAACTTCTCCAACACATAGGAATGCCACACAGGCATGACTGCACGTAGTTAAACAAATCATAAAAATAACTGCTATAGCTTTAGATGAAAAGACAGCTATACACATATGCAGAATTCTTAGATTTGTATAAAAATACGCAAAGACGAAGACCAGAGAAAATGTGCAAAAAACCCTCGTGATAAATGTGACAGTAACAGTTTGGTGGTAGGACTCTTGGCTACTTACTTTCCTCTTTGGCACCTTTGTATTTTCTAAGTTTTCAGTAGTGATCACAAAATATTTCATTAATAAAAGATTGTTTTAAAACATAGAATCTCTGCGGTATTTTAAATGATGATTAAGGCACTGGTGGATCAACCCAGAGTCTATTTGGCACATGGAATACACCATGACTGCCTCCCCTCAGCCTTCCCCCAGCTTTGCATTTGCTACTAGAATCCTGACTTTATCCAGTTCCTGGAGGAAGTGAATTAGGACAGTCTTCAGACACTCATGGTGGGTATATTCCCCTTTCTGGAGGCTTAACACAGGGGTAGGGGAAGGGTTGACTGAAAAACTTCTCTCTCTAACAAAAGACATAAGCAGGAATAAAAACTCTTCTACCCTGGGTGGCTATGAAAAAAACATATACAATCTTACTAAAAAATAAAAATAGCAAAGGAATAGCATGTTTGCTATCTACCTGGCTGGCAAAATGAAAACCAGCACTAAGAATCAGCATTGCAAAGGCTGCAAGAAAGCAGGTGCAGCCTGCTTTATGTGTTTGTGGTTGGAATGTAACTTTAAAATCCTACCGTCGATGTCAGTTTGGTAACGTGTCAAAATCCTCAGGAGGGAGTCTACCCTCCAGCCAGCCATGAGTTCATGCATACGCTCACTCATTCAAAACTCCTGCCCAACTGCTGGGTGCAGGGCAAGGGAACCAACCCGACAAAAATCCTAACTCTCCAAGCTTACATTCCAGGGAGTAGAGACAGATAAGGCACAAATCTAAAAAGTCAGATGATCACAGGTGTCATAGAGAAAGTGGGGAGGGCGCATAAGGAGAGCCGCCCCTGCACACGGAGCTCAGGGAGGCCTCAATGAGAAGGTGAGTGCTGGGCAAAGGCGTGGAGGAGCTGAGAAAGCCAGGCGTGCAGCAGTGCAGGGGCAGAGAGTGCAGTGTCAGGGACCTGCAACTGCAGAAGCCCCGGGGTGAGGCTGGATGGCTCCAGGATCAGCAAGGAGGACTG